CTTTGTTCATTTGACACATTGACCAAACACTGAAATAATCTTTCACTTTCATTCACATCGTCTCGTAGATTCATCATTTCTCTCGTGTGTGACCATCAATCCAACTCTCTGATTGACAGAGTCAAGTTAAAGCCACAGTATGTCACTTTTTACACAGAAAATAAACTAAAATAAAAGCATGTTTTTAAAATGTGGTTGTGTTTATTGCACTGGAAAACTTTAGTGAGTGGACTTGCCTCTCCACAAACCTGACTCGTACCTGGTCTTTTCAGCACGTCTCAAAATACAATAAAAAATACTTTTACTTTTCAGTCCAGTTGAAAAATGTAGTGGAGTAGAAAGTACAAATACCTGCTCTCAAATGTAGTGAAGTAAAAAGTATGTACTTTAAAATGTACTTAAGTAAAGTCCAGATACCTACAGTGTGTACTTAAGTACAGTACTTTACTGCTTTTACTGTGTTATGTTCCACCACTGCTGCTTATTATTCTAGTCAAATATGCATCATTCAAACTCCTGTTTTACACGACTCAGTTAAAACTGTAGAAAAATCACAAAGTCTTACCTTCAAACTGATGCAGGAAAATTAAAACCAAGAAACAAAAGTATTTTGAGTCGATCATTTTTACTTTAGTCCGGTTCTTTTGAGTTTCTGAAAGTCGAGTTTCTTCCTCTTCCTTTTTCTGGTTATTTCTTGTTCTCTTAATATCTTTTCACGCCCACATTAGTTTCACACTTCTAAAGCTGTGAATAAACAGTTTAAAGAGTAACTAATAGTAACGCACGTTTGCTTTTACATCCCAGATTAGCCTAGCCCGGTGTTCCGGATTGTCTGGTGATCAGTTTAACTGGTAAAGGCGGGGCCACATCTGGAAGCATGGGGGGGCGTGTCCTCTCGGCTTCCATTCACTCCCATAGAGACACAAAACTGCCAGAGCTGTATTTCGCCTTCTTCTTTAATGTGGCGTATTATTTCCCCATTGAAAAATAATCCAAATGTATCCAGCACATGTTCCCATCAAGACCTGGCGTTTGAAAAAACAAACGTTGCTCTTTACTGCAGCGCATGAACGCGCTCAACCACTTGATCTGGTCGCTGCTCCAGACGCTCCTATAACCAAATAAGTACCATATCGCTATGTTTTATAACAAATACAAAATGGTCAAGCACAAAATGCTGCCCGTGTCTTCACTGTCATGAATGTAGTGTTTGTGTTATTTTTTTATTTTTGTGTATTGGCTTATATAATGTGCCTAGTTCACACAATTTGCAACCAAAATAGGGACTGACTCATTGGATCTTTTGACACAATCACCCAGAGTGAAATCTTACACTACATCTTGCTGTGAACACAACAGGTAGACTACATCTTCTGCTTCCAGATCCAGATGTGGTGGGCGTGTCCACTCAGCTGTAGATGCGGTGGGCGTGCACCTTAACCACTTGATCTGGTTGTCGCTGCGCTGCGGCTGCTGCTGCTGTAGACGCTCCATGTCAACAACTAATATGATTCTTGTGCTGTCTTTCAAGTCGCAAACTTGCCGATAAAAATACTCAAACTGTTGCCAGTCCTGTTACTCTCAGGGGTCTGCGTGTGTAGAGATAGGCCTATATTATATGTACATATATGCAATGTGACATTTCACACAATTTGCTGCCTTAATATGGGTCTAAACTAGGTCTAAACTAGGATAAAACCAGATATAAAACATCTTGCTTGTAGACTACAGGTAGACTACATCGCCTGCTTCCAGATCCAGATGTGATGGGCGTGTCCACTCGGCTGCAGATGTGCGTGCATGTGCCTTAAGCACTTGATCTGGTTGTTGCTGCGCTGCGGCTGCATACATGCCTTTTGGACTGGAGGCTTTTTGTAGTCACTGAAGTTTATATGTTCATTGTGTAGTGTTTTTCAGTGATCTTGATACTAAAACATTCTTGTCTGTTTCTGGTCAGATGAATGTATATTCTGTATCACGAAGCATATAATAAGCAAACGCAGTCACATTTTTTATTTATTCTAGACCAGCCAATTACACAGGGCAACAGTGCATTAGGGATGACAAATACGGAACGTGTAAAAGACTTGGCCTATATGATAGTTATTTCTTTTGTACCTGACTAAAAGGATTGGGAGCATGATGCACGCCCACCACATCTGCAGCTGAGTGGACACGCCCAACACATCTGGATCTGGATGCAGGCGATGTAGTCTACCTGTTGTGTTCACAGCAAGATGTTGTGTAATATTTCACTCTGGGTGATTGTGTTAAAATGATCCAATGAGTCAGTCCCTATTTTGGTAGCAAATTGTGTGAACTAGATCATTGTACACATTATATAAGTCTGTACATGTCTACACAAACACAACATTCATGACAGTGATGACACGGACAGCATTTTGTGCTTGACCATGTTTATTTGTTACACGACATAGCGGTATGTCACCTGTTATAGGAGCGTCTGGAACAGCGACCAGATCAAGTGGTTGAGCGCGTTCATGCGCTGCAGTAAAGAGCAATGTTTGTTACTTCAAACCCCAGGTCGTGATGGGAACATGTGCTGGATACATTTGGATTATTTTCCTATGGGGAAATAATACGCCACGATAAAGAAGGTTTAACGCGACAATACAGCTCTGGCAGTTTTGTGTCTCTATGGGAGTGAATGGAAGCCGAGAGGACACGCCCCCCATGCTTCCAGATGTGGCTCCGACTTTACCAGTTAAACTGATCACCAGACAATCCGGAACACCGGCTAGATACTTCCGGTGGCCGTGGGCCGACCGAACATGCGCAGTAGTGCTCTTTTCTCCCACGGGCACACGCGAATGCACGCGACCACACGCACGGAGCGCGGGCTCGTGTATCACGTGATCGCTTTGACCAATCAGAGCGAGAGGAACTAGAGCGGAGCAGAGCGGAGCCGGAGCTAACGAATATAAAGCGTTTTTTTTAAGACAACTGAAGGATTTTGAGCGAGAAAAAGTTTATGATCTAAAAATAGGTAAAAATCGCCACAAAATCCGACATTTTTGAAAGTTGTAGGTCCTGTCAGCCGAACACGAGCAGGTTGTGATTACATTGCCTCTATGAGAAAAATCTTCTCTCGGCCCATGGGATTTTTTCGACTGTAGAACCACTGAGTGACACTACGTCAACTCGAGGCAGCTACAAGCAGCAACACTGTATCCAGTTATTTTAATAGATCCATGACTCTGCCTTTCACAACAGAAATAAACCGCAACCGGAAACATATAACCTTCTGTTATTACCACAATGATTAACATTGCGTCATATAGATTTTTCAATCTGACAAATTAGAAACAGTACAGACGTATGTCTTGAAGACTTATACCTCACTCATGGTCCGAATACGCCGCTCGAAAAAATACTTTCCCATAAAACATTGCGGCCAACAGAAGACGCAGCGCTTCATGTGTATATATAGTGCGCCATCTACTGGAAAACGCCGGAAATGCAGGAAAATGTTGGCCGCAATGCTTTATGGGAAAGTATTCTTTCGGGCGGCGTATTCAGACCATGAGTGAGGTGGAAGTATTCAAGATATAACCCAGCACTTTTTTTTTTTTTTTTTTTTTTATATTGCAATATCTCCTTGATGAAGATGAGACGCGGCTGTTCTGTTAAAAACTCACTGCGTGGGACAGTGTTTCCAAGGAACCAGAGCCGATTGTGGGTCTGAGGTCACTAGTCCAGTGTTTGTGTCAGACGCAGTTACGTCTCTACGCACAGAAACCTACTTTGGGTTTGTTAATTAGTAATGAATGTAATCGACGAAATTCTTAATGATCAATTATCGGTTAGTCGACTAATCATGCCTGTCCCTACTTCTTATATCATCAAAAAAGGAGATGTTTGTGAAAAACAGACTTTATTAAAAAGCCCTGTACATAAAACATTTACTGATACTGACACTTTAAATGATGTCAAACTGATAAAAAAGTAAAAATACAATAAGCTGTGACTAATGTGCAGATGTTACAGCTAAATCACTCCTGCAAATGTAATAAACAAATCAGTGATTTAACTTTACTGTGTGATTTTTTTCTTCAGTCAGTTAACATTAAACGTATTTACAGTATTAAGCCTTTGTAAAAACGGTACAAAACATTGTATTTACATGACTTAAAAGGAAATATTTCATGTACAAAGTAATTCAAATTGCTTTACAGAATAAGAAAAACATTAACATCACAATACAAATAAACATAAAATAAAAACACAAAACATAAATAAGCATCACAAAATTACAAGAAAAGGATATTACAATTACAAAGTGAACTACGATAAATTACATGTTGATGAAAACAACAGTGGCCTGAAAACAAAGCCCTGAGGGACCCCACTGAAGTGACTTTTACAATACAGTCTCCTTTAGCTCAAATACATTATTGTGAGAGGAGAGACTTTGTTTTATTGCTGAGTTTCAGACGCCATCACAACATTCTATCAGCCAATAATATTTAACACAGACGAGGGCAGATAAAATTAGTTTTGTTAAAATGCAGATTTCTTGTTGTAATACAGAGAGTTCTTGGGTCTTGTCACTAACAGAACATAAATAATCATCATAAAATAAAATAAAAAGAGAAGAATAAAAACCTTTCAGTTGTTTGTGCAGCTCAACAGAACAGTTTTGAGCTGGATTTAAACATTGTCAAAGCTTTTTTTTTTACATTAACCATTATAATGTCTCTTTATCAGAAACTCGACTTGTTTTGTACTTGACTTGTGTTTTGTATCATTTGTCTGAGTAGTCCTGTACATTCATTTTATTGCAGGTGTTTTTACCTCTAAACTTTCTTTTCTTAATCTAAATTATGAAGAGTAAAGTTTGATGTGTTGTTTTTATTATTGTAACACCATCTCATAATGCACAAATGATAAATCTTGACCTTGATCCTTGTGTTCAGTCTTGTGGTTTCTTTTTCACTTGGCTGTAGATGTCGCTCTGCTCAGACTTTGCTGTGTTCTGTCGCTTCACTTCAGAGTAAGTTACGTCATCATTTTCTTTAAGCTGTAAAAGTTCAAACAAGAAATTAGAAATAAGAGCTTCTCCATTATTATTATTATAGAAAGAAGAAAACATTTGTCGCCCTCCACTCCACAGAACCACAACCAAAGTGGACAAATCACACCCTCGCCTTCAGTCGCCTACATACGAGAACAAACATTTTACTCGCGTCTCCAAAAATGACTCCTCGTCGTTTGTTTCATTATCTCCATCTTTCTCTGTCTTTCTTTTCATCCCTGTTCAATATTTTTCCATGGTGTCTCTGACCTTGCCTCAAGTGGAGGAGTCGCTGTGTTGGACCGTTGTGGTGAAGAGGAGCTGAGCCCGAAAGATGAAGCTCTTGATTTACCGTCAATCTACGTTCCTCCCCTCACCTCTGGTCATGAGCTCTGGGTAATGACCGAAAGGACGAGATCACAGATTCAAGCGGCACAAATGAGTTTCCTCTGCAGGGTGTCTGGACGCTCCCTTAGAGATAGGGGGAGGAGCTCAGTCACATGGGAGGAGCTTGGAGTAGAGCCGCTGCTCCTCCACCTCGAGAGGAGCAGCTGAGGGGAGGACATCTGATCTGAGGTGTTCATGACCCACCGAGAGGAGGCCCCGGGGAAGACCCAGGACACACTGGAGGGACTATGTCCCTCGACTGGCCTGGGAACATCTCGGGGTCTCCCCAGAGGAGCTGGAGGACGTGTGGAAGGAATAAAATGGATGGATGGGTCTTTTGAGGGACCCAAGTTCACTGCACTTCATGTCTCCTGCTCTGTGCTGTGTGCAGACGCTTGGTGCAAAACACCCGACACTGTACTGCCAACTACTGCAGTGGATGTGCAATTACACTTTATTCTAGTACAGCAAAAAAAAAAAAAAAGCATGTTCAGACGTGTTTGTTGTGTTGTTTGTTTTTTGATAAAAAGTTTCATACTGTGGCTTTAAGTGGCTTTTCAATATATATATTTTTTATTTTAGTGTAACTAAATGTTATTCTTAATTTAAGTCATATTTGTATAAGTTATTATTTTTCGCAGACTATTTAATAAAACACAAAATATAAACAAGAGAATGAACAGGGCAGAAATGTATTGTCAGTTTATCATTTTAGAAATATGTTCATGTAAACATTTTATTTGTCCTTTTTACCTGTATTTTAGCTCTGGGTGTGTGGTGCTCAATCATTGCATAAGTCACTCCATTTTCTGGATCATCCTGTTAAAGAATAAAAAGTTACACACAGTTCAGTGTTATATCCACTAGAGGGCGCTCTCTGATCACACAAGTCTATGTTTTCAGCTCGTTCCAGTCCATATTAACAATGACAACAAAACAACACATGTGGAGTCATTAAATCCAGATAATTCTACTGATAACTCCAGAAAGTATCGGCCTAATCACACAAAATGAACCTTTAGTTGACTTTAATTCTTGAATAAGGATTTGAGCACTCACCGTAGCATCAGCGGCAGGTGAGGCACCTGTCAAAACAAAGTCCTGTGTCAACAATTAGAATATTAAAGAACCTAATGTGAAAAACCTTTAAGATTTAACCATGTTTTATTCACTCATCATTAACTTGTTGTTCTGTTCTAATTGATTCATGTGTTAGTTGAATAATCCTGTAATGTTTTGCATTTGAGGATTGAGTAAAAACACAAAACACTCTGCTTTGTACAAACTTGTGATTATACAAAAGTTCTAGTAACACATGTGGGGTTCTGCTGTTTTGAACAGGAAGTCACTGGACCTGTTTCTGTGATTAAATTTATGGCAAAAATGTGACAAAACAAAACTGTAAAAAGTAAAATTATAAGTTTTTTATAGTTTAATGCTTAAACTGGCAGTATTAACTGTAACATATTTAGATCACCATGTTGGCCTTTACTGTTCAGAAAATGCTTTAGTCACCATAAACAGCACATTAAAATGTTTTTGACACTCCCCCTTCAGAGCACAACACAATCAGCATGTGTCCCACTACATTACACTAAACAAAGTCTAGTCAAGTTAAAATTACTTGAATTAAGAAAGTTTTATCATGATTTGAGTCTATTTCACTTGACAAGTAAAATGATCTGCCAGTGGAACAAGACTTTTTGTACTTAAAAGATGAAAATACATCCTGCTACAACGAAAAACAACAACTTGATTGAATTAAGAAAAACACACTTATTGGTAGATTGATAGATAATTTTACTTGTCAAGTTGAATCGACTCAAATAAAGCAAAATGTTCTTAATTTAAATAATTGTAACTTATATAGATATTGTTTTTTTTCCAGTGTAATGAAACTCCTGCACATCACATCAGGTTTGTCCAGTTGCTGTGTTCAGTTTTGTGTTATGTTTTTATTTATTTATGGAGAATTAATCCAAAGATGTTAATTTTGTCTTCTTATATACTTTAACTTCTTGGGTTCTTTTTAAAGACAATGCAGTAAAGTGTATTTGCCTTGTTGACATGTTTCGGCTGCTAGCTGCAAGCCATCTTCAGAACTGTCCTCTGTGTTGGTGGTGACGTGTCGTATATCAGCTGTTGTTACTTCCTGTAGGAATGTCAATATCCCAGCTGGGCCATAAACAAAGGCAGACAACAAGTTATCAATAAAACCAACAAACCCCGGAAAAAATCACAACAAACCAACAGAGGGCAGCAGCACCACAAGAACACAATCACACTACCGAACATCAGAGGAATAACTGAACCCATCCAGAGAGCCATGAAAAAACACAACATAAACACTGTAGTCAAACCATACACAAAACTCCACCAACACCCCAAAGATAAAATCCCACAAGAACAAAAATGCAATGCCATCTACGAAATTCAATGCAAATCATGCCATAAATCATACATAGGGGAAACGGGCATTTCACATCCGAAATAAGGAACACCAAAAGGAATGCGAAAAGAAAACATCAGGGAGACTCACCAGAACACAAAAAGATAAAGCAGAACAGGAAAAACTAAAATCCGCCATATCAGACACTGTAAAAGGAACAACCACATTCTGGATCAGGTCGGGGCTCGGGTCATTGGATCAGAAAACAAGAAGTTCAAACGCTGGACCAGGGAGGACAGTGAAATCAGGAAACGAGGCACGGACAGAATTAACCGTGATGACGAAGCGTTCCTCCTTTCACACACCTGGGACACCCTCCTCCAGAGACACCGGGCGACGGGAGGCGTGGTCAGTCTGAGCGACCTGCAGGTCCATCAGGTCTGACCACGCCCACAGGAAGTAACAACAGACAGATCTGAAGATGGAGCAGCAGTCGAAACATGTCACCAAGATAAATACACTTTACTGCCTTGTCTTTAAAAAGAACCCAAGAAGTTAATTTATGGAGAATTGTCGCGTGGGAGCATGGGGGATGCAGGCTTGTGGGCGGAGCCTCGTACAAAATCTTACAGCTAATATCTGGGTTTCACGTGACGTCACAGGGCTGTTTGTCAGCAGGCAAAATCAGATGGAGGCAGGAAGTGAACTGACTGGAGGAAAATGCCGATGTGTTGTGTAGTTTAGGGCTGTGCCAATCGTTCTAACCGAGAGAAGGAAAAGCGATTTTTTTATAGTACTGAATATAATCGTCCACAAAGGTCAGAAATGGGAAAAGCCGACAGAACAACGCCGTAAAAAGTGGATTACAAACCTGTTTGCGGTCAGGAGGAGCAGATTTCGCTAATGCTCGTGTCTGCAGTGAACACTTCGTCAAAGGTTTGTTACAAAGATAAGTTGTTTTTTGTGGTTTACCTAAACATAAACGAATCTTTAACGACTAAAGACGTTTGCTGACATTAAATAGTTCAGATAGAGGTTACTGCCGATACACTGCAGTTTTTCCCATAACATCTATACACATAAAATAAGAGAAACACCCACCCCGGCGAAAACCAAACCATAATCATCATTTAGGCGTTTTGTACCAAGGTTGTGGACCCATCCACTGACAAAAAAAGTTCTATGCCTCCAAACTTTTGTATTTTGCCTTCATCTGTTGTCTGGTGTAGAACGATGTCTGGAGAACTAAATAGTTCGTGATCTCCTCTGCCTCGATTGTCGACAAATCTTTTACTTCGGTTGAAAATTCTCTCATTTTCAATAAAACAGGGTCACGCCCAATATATTTGTCGACTAACTGCTCGTACTTTTGCCTCGCTACTGGCTCTAAATCCTTACAATAAGAACTCTTCTCCGTATCTGTGTTCTCCAGAGCTGTGTTTGTTTGTCGTGTTTGTCTTCACTTCCTGCCCTCCACCTGAAATTCGCGCATCATCATGATCACGTGACTGAAACCCTCCTATTGTAAGAAGGGTTTGAATAGGGCTCAAACATATTACTCAAACATCCATGGACAACTCTAAAACATCTTCAGGCATGTTTTTGTCAGGGAACAATGTTATAACATGGGAAAAAGCTTAAAAAAAAGATTTTGCATAATACCCCCGCTTTAATCCCTGATAAAGAAAATAATGTATTTTTTAAAATTACACTAAATGACTAAAATACAAGAACTGGTAACTCATGAAAAGTATGAAGTCATGACATTTTAGTTCTGTGTTTTACCTTCTGTTTCTTCAATACTTTCTGTAGTTTTCTTTTTGGATTTTATTTTGAAAAACAGCCCCAGAGCTACAGCCAGGAGCACCAGCCCTCCACCCACGACTGCAGAGATGATGTAGACTGACAAAGAGGTGGGAAAACACATTCATGAACGAAGAGTGAGAAGTCTTAAACGTGCTCTACCTGATGTTTACTGTCTTAAATACACGAGAAACACAACGAGCTCAGTTTGCACTGGTCCACAGTTCTTCCTCACTGACCTTATGCATTCTGACGATCCTAATTATTCACCACGATGACTTTATAAACACTTCATAACTTTCACAAACCCGTGACACTAAAGCTAATAACAACTAGAATGCTAACTGTGCAATTACTGATTATAAAATAATTTCTAATTAGATGCAGTATTCTTATCCATTTATTACACAATGAATTGTAAATGTAAAGTAAATACCATAGCATAATGGATTTTAAATGGTTTACTACTTATTTATGGTGTGCCCGTTGTGCACAAAATGGACATTCCACAAAATGTTCAAATTTTTTGCATTCTGTTGAATAAAAATGAGTTTCTTCTCAATAAAAATGTACACAACTGTGCTTTTAGTATATTACAGTCTAATGTCATAGTACTCGAGACCGGTCTTGGTCTTGAGACCATTTTTTACAGTCTTGGTCTAGTCTCGGTCTCAATTAGTTCTTGACTACAACACTATTACATTCTATTACTATGACTGAATGTTCAATAAAAACATGTAATTGAAAATAACAGTGGACCTAAAACAGAGCCTTGTGGGACCCACTAAATGGACGAGCTAAAATGAGTGTTGTTGAAATGTAGATTGTTGCTGTAATATAGCCAGTTTTTAAGTCTAGTTTCTAATAGAAATGATCAGGTTCAGTTTTTGTGCGTTTACCTTTTGGATTAATTCAGTAAAGTACAATGTAATCAATAGAAAAAACATGTCTGGGAGTATGACATCATCATGCCATTTTTGGCTCAACTGATTCTAAAAAAGCAAATATATTAAGGGACAAAATGTTTCATGCAGTTAAAAGTTGTTTTCCTGTGCACTTTGGTGTTTGTTTGAAATGTGTGTGTCGTACAATTTGTGCACATCCCACAGAGCGTCTCATTTCTGTCATACAACAAATATAACCACAGATTTTACTGTAAATGAGAGCCAATAATTCTTTCCTCACCTGTGTCTCTCATCAGGCTGTACTCTGCAGACACCTGGACCCTGCCGTTCTCCTGGTACTGACAGGTGAAGGTCCTGATCTGTGGACTCTGGAGCTCCACTGTCAGATTAGACTCACAGTTCTTCTGAGTTACACCATCTCCAGACAGAACCGTACCGTTTATGTCCAACCAGAGAAAACCGTCTGGTTCACAAGAAGGAAGGAACCCATATTTCCACAGTTTGCACTGTAAGGTGATGTGTCCATTTGGGGTTTGGTCGAGGTTGGGTTGAGCTACAGAAACTGAAAATAAAGAACAGTGTTTTTATTATTATATTAATTTGTCGTTTTAATGTTGTTTCCTCAGAAAATAAGAAACCAGCATTTGTGTTTTGTTTCATAAAAATCCTTTGGGTATTTCCCAGTTGGTCTAATACATGCATCACGAATTTTGGACTTCCAGTCACTGAGCAATCCACACTGGGAAGGATTTTCTGAAAAAGTGAACATCAAACCTCCATGTTTGTTTTCCCAGTGGAATGTGTCTATTGACAAAGTCGATCTTTTCAAGTCTTTTGAACCATTTCACTTTTGTTTCTGGTTCTGATATTGTCATATTTTAGTTTCGGAATTTGGACATCATTAATTGTGTGGTTGTTGGATCCTAACAGCGGAAAACGGCTCAGGAAATGGGTTTCGGAAGTTTGCAAAATCCATAAATGCAAAAGT